TCTAGACTAAGAAATTAAAGTTTTGTTCTTTTTTTTTAAAGGAAGTAGTTAAACCTACCAGTGAATTTATTTTCTTAATATAAAAGGAGGTTGGGCATATAAAATGCAGTCTGGGAGCTCAGTGGTGAGTGCTCGGCTAGTATGCACAAGGCCCTGGCTCCCATCCCTCAGCGCTCCCCTCCAAAAAAAAGTGAGGCCTGAAGGTGTGGCCCCGTAGTGGAACATGTATGTAGTATGTGCCAGGCCCCAGGTTCAGACACCAGGACTAGCATAAAAGCATAAAGAACAAAGATAAGAAATGATTAAAAAATAAAAACAACAAAGGGGAATAAAAATGTTTCCTAAATAGATATCCAATTGCACTGAACTCAACCATTCTGGAACCCAGTCTGAGGCCCAACAGTTTAAAAATCTCTATTTTAATGGATTCAAGTTGCAGGGGTGGACGGGTCATTTCTTTGCTTTGTATCTGAGACAGCGAAGTAGGGAAGAGAAATTCATTGCACTCTGTCCCAGAAAAAAACTGCAGTTGAGGAAAGGCCCGGTCCCTGGAACAGCAGAAGGGGGGGCAGCAACTGGGGATGCCCAGACCGAGCTTCCTGCTAGGAGAGGAGAGGTGAGGGGAGGTGCTGGCTGCCCCCCACCGCAGTGGGGACCCCAGGACACCAGGCACTCACCCCACCTGCAGGCACGGGCTTGCCCCTTGCCTTGTCGCTTCCCGCCTCCCACCTTTTCCTCGTGTCCCTTCATTCTGGAGCTTGGAGCCTCACATTCCGGGGAGCCGCAGGGCCTGTGGTCACGCTGCGCAGTCCCCACATGACACACCAGCTCCTCCACCCCTACGACGAGCGCTGCTAGCTGCTACCCAAGGGCCGCCTGCCACACGCAGCCCAAGTCCTTCCTTTCCCATACCGCAGGCACTTCACAATTCCATGTATTATTTTGGTCCCAAGGAGAACTTTTGAATGCATCATTTGGATGGTGCATGACTAACTACACCTCCTCCAGTAGCTCCCTATTCATAAGCAGGTGCGTTACTAGGGGAATAGTAACTCTTCCAGCCACCAGAAGATTGTTTGTTCGCTACTGCTTGTTGGAAGAGATCACTTTTAGTGGCAAGCAGAAGTCACTACTCAGACTTTTAGACTCCGGCACAAAACTGTCTCCCAAGCCAAAGGGTCACAGGCCTCACTGTAAAACAAACCAGCCCCGAAGTAGTGCACACTAAATATTCTCAGGGTGCACCCTAAAGATACGGAAAAAGTAGAAGGTCGGAGCTGCCGCTGGCTGGGAAAGTGCTTTCTGACATGCATGAGGCCCTGAGCTTGATTCGAGCACTTCAAAAAGAAAAACACAGTGTGTAAAGAATAGAACTTTTATCAAGTAAAATGCACAAGCTGCACCTTCTAGATGTAGTAGGAACACAGAATTAACATGAGGGTTCTACACGGCTGTACAGGACTCCCAAAGACAGAACATACATAATTATTAGGTGATTCTGTCCCAAGTCATAGGAAACGTCACTTTAAAATGAATAATGAAATAGTCCCAGAAACATTTTATGAATTGACAAACATAATCTTCATTCTTAACAACAATCTCAAACTTCGTACTAATGTGAACTAGTAAGTTTTGTAAGAGCCAGCTATGACACAGATAGCCACGGAGCCTCTCAGGTTCTCTTTAGGACAGCAGTTCAATTAAGTCCCGGGACAAGGTCTTATCTTTTAAAAATACACAGGTTTGCTGATAAAGTCTTAGAATCATACCCAAAAAAAAGATAATAACTGTAATACTTTTCTCCCTCCTTAAATGAGGAAACAGAGCTAGAAAGGATGACAGCCTTGCTCTGGCTATACTAATTGAAAGAGTTAAACAATGTACACATTTGCATTCAGAGCTGGACACTCAGTATTAACATGTTGTTGTGTACGAAGGCTTTTTCATTTTGGGTTGTATGTGCGCGCGCCCGTGCTGGGGGCTGAACGCGGCGCCTAGCAGGCCAAGCTCTCGCTCTGGCAACCCCCGACCCCATACACTTGTCGCTGGAGAGAAATATTAAGAACACACAAGCCCATTTCTTAAAATTACAATTTCAATATATATTTTGCTCAGTGATAGACATTATCTTAACATCTATCATAAATTTCCCCCACAATACGGTCTATCATCTTTGAGTAGCTTTCTTTCCAAGATACTAATGATGATAAAGGAAAATTAAAACTCGCTATTTTTTATTAAATAATAGCTTAAGGGGGCTGGGGATTTAGCTCAGCGGCAAAAGCGCCTGCCTGGCAAGCGCAAGGTCATGAGTTCGGTTCCCGGTACCGGAGAAAAACCAAAAACCAAAAAAAAATAAATAAATAAAAGCCTACTTATTTGTACAAGAACTGCCATATGGGCCACCATTTTTCTGAATGATCTCAGGACCTCAATTTTAAAGGAAAAAAGAATC